CATTGGTTACTTTCTTGCATTATTTTATATGAGATTAAAAAGATTTCAGAAATTTGATTAAAAAAATTTAAGAATACAATTCATACTCATGATTAAGCAAAGCTTTTAAGGCCGGGTCACTTGAAATTATTTAATAGGATTAGAATATTGCCAAGTTTTACACTCTCTAATTTCTATTTTGTTAATTTTGGTCCCTTAATTTAAACTTTTTGTAACTGGAAGTAACCAATTGAGTGTAGTATAATCGTTATCATACTCGTATGTTAATATTTTTTTTTGTATATGGAATAAATCTTCGATCAGTTGTTTAATTCTAAGCTTAGAATATCAATTTTTGACAATGTGCCTAAAAAGTTACATTTTGCGTAAAACTTGCGGTTTTGCGCAAATTGCGCAAAAAAATTGCGCAAAACTAAAATTTCGTTTCATGCGCAACTTTCGCAAAAAATATTTCCGGTTTTGCGCAAATTGCGCAAAATAAATAGCGCAAAACCGCGCAAAACTCATTGCGTTTCATGCGCAAAAATAGCGCAAAAGTTCGCAAAAATAAAATTTGCGCGAAAATAGCGCAAATTTTGCGCAAAAGATTTAGCCATTTCGTGGAAACCCTATGCTATATCGTTTGCACTAATGTCCGATTGAACTAACGTACTTTTGCACTAAAGTCAGCTGATCAGTAACACAATTGTGGCCTCAGCGCCCGGCCCCTAGCTTGTCCTAGACACAGCGCTCATCCCCCTAGCCTGTCCTAGCCGCAGCGCTCGGCCCAGAAATTGTCTTAACCTAACCTAACCCTCAAAAAAACGTTAGTCCGAATGAACGTTAGTGCGAATGTACGTTAGTCCGATCAATCATTAGTGCAAACGATACGACACCTTTGTCTTAAGAAATATTGGATTTGCATTTATTGATATCTTATAAATGTTGAGTGTAACTTAGAAAAATAGACTTCAAGAGCGCTGTGCCCCCATCCTCTATTTTAAATTTTAATTGTGGCTCTATCTTTGAGCATCTTTTCTTTGTACAGTATAAAACAATAACAAAAAAAGTTGGCGGATTTTCAATTTTTTTTTCGTGCATTTTTAAAATTTCACAAAAATCAAAAGCTTTTGGTTATAACTTTTTGTAAATCTGAGCATAAAAAACCTTCCCTGGGGTCGAGCAACGCGACGTCCAACAGAAAATGTAGGCCTGATCGGTTGAGCCGTTTTGACGTTTATTGAACACAAGCACATAGACATTCACTCTCTCTCCTAAACGATAAATTAGTAACTATTTCGAACGATCTTTGTTTAAGACGACATTGGAAGTAGTGTTCTTTGAGTAGAGTAACCTACTATTCATTGTGAGGAGAGCTATAGGGGGGGGGGGGGTATTTGATGTGAGATCTAGGACTGCATTTGGTTTATTGCAAATACAAAATATTGCTTTTACATGCCATTCTACCCGAATTTTTACTGGGTCTATATAAGTAACCTTTTTATGTAAACACAACCCCAAATTCTCCCTATTCGTTCTCTCATCTCCATAAAGAAGCAGAGAAAATTAAATTCATATTTTTCCAGCATATTTCCCCCATTGTTTTTATATCTTTTCCTTATTTTCATTCTTTTTTAATAAAAGTACCGCATTAAACGTTTTCGTGTTTGAAAAAAACATTTTTTGTTATTTTTTGGGGGGAGGGGACCCTTTGAACAAACGGATTGAAAAGATCTGTCAAATCCTAATTGTGTACCAAGGCTGGGGCACGTTCAGACTTAATTTTATCAGTTCTTTCTCAAAGTTTCCTTTCGTTAACAACCTCAATTTTATTATGATGTTAACCTAAGATATTTTAGAAATTGTTAATGGTATCAATCCTTAACAGGCCGATTATTATATGTGAAAGTAGTTCAAAATTCAAACAAGAAAACATCAAGTTTCATCTGTAAGTTTCATGCAATTTTAAGTTGAACAAATGAGGAGAGAAGTCGTTGTCTTATAATACATCAGTTATTTTCTTTTTTTTAAATTAACATTTTTTTAAGAATAGCTATTTTTATTTGTTAAAATAAAAAATTAAACTGTTAAAGTTCACAACAACAAATGTTCTTGCTTTTCCTGATTACATTTTTTTTAAATCCCTTTAATTCTTAAAGATTAGGTTAGGTCAGAACAATTTATTTAATCTTTATCTTTCATTTCCTGAGATAACTGAATATATTTTCATTTCATTTGAAAGAATAAAATTAGAGGAAATTGAAAATGAATACAATTATGCAATTCCCAGAAAGTGGAAGTACTTTGTTAAATGTCTAGTAACATTTTCCTGGTGTTGTATGAAAGGACAGTATTTTTTCAGTTTATAAAAACTGAACACAGGCAGTGAGACGGAGAGATTAATAAACATGAGTTAAATGAAAGCAAACAAGAATGAATAAAATGTACTAAAAACCCAGTAGTCTCAAATGATATCACAAAGTCCTTGGATAATGTAAATCTATGTTTAAAACAAAGTCTGAAAAACCTTAAGATTGTTGCTTAAACCCATAGCAAAATATTTAATTTAAAATTGACTGATTGTTCACATATTAAAATATTTTATTTCATTCAACAATTTTCCTAAATAATTGGGTAAATTCATTAAAATGGCGAAAACAATTGGCCTAGATTAAACTTCACATTTGTGTAAAAAAGATCCCCATAATCCGATCATTTAATTAATTTTTAAAAGTTTTATTTCTTACACAGACAGACATGAGGGAGAAATATTTCTTTAAGTTTTTGCATATCATTTATTTAAATCTTTTAATTATCATACAGGAAATAGCTATTTAATACTGAAAATTGGGTTTTACATAAAGTACAACAGACAATACATACAAACAAAACAATATGCAAGACATGAGAGAAACTGGTTTAGGAACAAAAAAAATCTTTTTAAAAATCTTTTTAGATGCTTTTCAACTTGATCATATACTTTAGTGTATACTAATATTTTGTTATGATTTTGTTTTTCATGATTTTAACATAAATGTTGAAAAATCAAAAATAGGACATTAGAAATTCATTCTGTTTTTTATTCTGAATTAAATAGATCATAAAATAAAATTTGAAATGAAAATAGATAATAGCATAAAGTGAATCATTAAGGACTAAGCAATTGTTGAGACCAACAAATAATTTTGCATGTTTTTATGAATATTTTTATAAAAGGAAAAAATTACGGTTCAATTTAGAAAAATAATTAGCATATATAGTATCCATTAGAAAAAACTTTTTATGTCGTGAAAGGTTGAAAACTGAAAGGTTGAATGAGTGTACTAAAGCTATTTAAAGCCATAAAACGACATTGTCCTATGAATGCACCGCCATCTTTTTTACAATGTTTTGCTGCACGATGAAGGCATTAATTAAGGCATTTTGAACATTTTTTATTAGGTTTATTTTGAGCAATTGCCAGTTTGAGGAAAGACTATGTTAACTCATTTTTCCATGCAAGACTGTAAAAGTTGAAGGCAAACTTTGATTGTAGAAAAATCACTAAGACCACAATAATGCACTCTTAAAAAAAAGAGGGTGTTTAGATTTATCAAAAAGTATGCTAAACTGTGATTTAGTTTTGTAGCATGACACCTTAAAGGGAGTGTTTGTGAAAAAGGAAAGGGGGTATAGGCTAAAGCATTTACACATAGTTGATATTTCATAATATTTTTATTTTTTATGATCTGAGAGTTACTTTATGTTACTTTTGAAAACATTTATTCCGGTTTATTTGAGGGTTTTTGATAATGAAGACAAGATTTTCATTTTTCCAGGAATATTCAAAAATCCAGCGCCAGCTGTGAAAACAAGTTGTAAGAATAATATTAATTTAAAAAAACAAGAACAAGAATATAATGAAATATCAACTATATACGATTGCATTAAAAAGCATTTTTATGATTTTTGTGAAAGCTGGTGTTTTCGGGGTTTTTCTAACTTTTAAGTAATTCTAACACATGTATTTGATAATGGTGTTGTGCTTGATTTTTAATGACAGTACAGTACACCAGTTTTATAATTATCAGAATGAAAATAAGAATAGCTTGAAGCAATAAACAGGTATAGCATCAAAAACTGCTTTGAAGATATTGAATTTGAATTATTAGTTTTTATCTTTCAAGCTTATTTTGATTTCTACAGTGATAACCAGAACAAAGAGAAATGCCAGTTACTTCTTACAAATCTTTAGCAACATTTCATGCTAAAAGATTAGAAAGCTAAAATTTCATTTTTTTTAGCATATTATCTTACTTACTGAAATTTTTAAATGTTTTATAAGACTAGCCAGACTAATTTGATCTAAAAAGTTTAAAGCACTGCTGTGATTCATTTTTTACATTTCTGAAATTAAATTGACACTCCCTTTAAATGGGGCTGGGCATGTTCCAACTTTTTCTAACCATTTTGTTAATGGTTAGTTCCAACCATTAAAAAATAAAAATTTCAGTTAGCAGTTAATTCTAAAGGATGGCATTTTTCTTTTTTTAAAAATTCCCATTAGTTAATGATTTCAATTTTATTAACAGCCTTAACGGAAAATTTTCAACAATTGTTAATGGCTCTAGCCATAAATGGTACCGTTATTACAAAATTAGAATTTTGTTAATGGCTAAAAAAATTGTTAACAGCATAGCCATTAATGATTTTTAATTTTTAAATATAAAAAAAATTTCATGCAAGCAATTTTAACCAGAAAATAACAAATTAACATTTTTAACCCTAATTATTTTTTCAAAAACGGCAGATCCGTTTCATTAATGATTTAAAAATTAATGGATTTTGATTTTTGTTAACAAAAATTTTCGAAAACCTCTGTTTCTTTAAAGGAACTTTGCCCAGCCCTACCTTTAAAGAGAACTTTTGAGTATAAATTAAAGACTTGTAACAAAAGGCATGATATATGTAAGTCAATTTAATTATTCTTTGAGCTTTACTGACACAACTAACATTTAAAGAAAGGTTGTCCTTTCACCAACTTTTTATTTTTAATTTTCTAAATTGTTTTTTTTAAGTATAATTTAAATGTTAGCAATGCTTAGAGTTCCTTTAAATCAGTAATTTTTTATGATACTTCTTCATCTTACACTTTCTGATTCCCTTCTCCAAAGTAAAATCACAACTTAACAGGTTCAGCTTAAGAGTTTCTAATAATTGGGAGTTTTTTCTGATAATGCTTCCTCATACAGATAGTGGGACCAATATATCAGATTGAAGAGAGCAAACAGAATTGGAAAAATTATTCTGAAATAAAGAATGGATTATTATAATCATGATTACAGGAGTATTTATTTTTCAGATGTTGAATTCAGAATTAATTAAAGTTTTTAAATATATGTGGAAAAAAGGAAATATTAAGCATTTGCTTAAAAGTATTCTAGGTTAATTTTTTTTCTTCATTTGTTCTGTTCCATTTCAGTGATAAGAAAGATTTAGCATGGAAAAGGGAAAAATATATACCCCTGTATAGTAGTGCACAATCATATTGATTTAAGACTAATTTTTTTGCATGGTAACAAAGTTTTTTTTGATAAATTTCTGCAAGATTTTTCATGCAGAATTTGCATTAAAATTTTTCAATTCCCCTGGAAACCCTGAAGATAAAAGTTACATTTTGATCATTAGAATGATGTAAAATTAATATGATTACCTAGAGACTACATCTATTTTCTTGGCTCTGCTTGGGAATCTATTTAACCAGTAGGATATGCAGTTCATGCTCCTGGGGGGAAAAATTAGAGATAATCGTCAGACATTTTATTTTTGTTACAAATTTTGGTAATTTTTATTTAAGCTTGTAGGAGTTCCTTGTTTTGTTTGTTCTATTTTCTATAAAGGTGCTACTTAAGATCACTTTATATTACTTTTGATTACTTTACATTACTTTACATTACTTCATATTACTTAAGATCACTTTATATTACTTTATAATAGATTGATAATTTTAATTACATTCATCCCTTTCTGTAATTCCTTTCTATGGCTACAGGAAATTACATGTAATTGCACACATTGCTTAAAGTTAATGTTTACAATGCCCTTTGTCTTGATTTTAAACGTTTAAATGAGAGAAATATGTTCAAAGATATTGAATTAAACAATATGATATTGTGTTTAGCAAGGTACTAATGGAAGGAGGTGTATGCATGTTTTGTACTGAAGTGTACTGGCTTTGGGCGGAAAAGTAAACACAAGAAAGATGTCACAGCCTTCGACATGGAATCCATTTTCACAAAAATAAACTATAAAATATTCTGGTCATAGGAAACTGTTATGTTAATTTTCAAAATTATCAAAATTAAATGCTTTTAACAACCTCGGATACTAAACCAACACTAATGCATCTATTCTTGTTTACAAAGTCCGCCCAGAGAGAACTGGTTTCAAAATGTACTCTGAGAATATGCGACCGCAATTAACTTTCCTTGCATTAGTACCTTGGTATTTAGAATGTTGTTCAGGGTTTATTTAGCAATGAACAATGTATTCAAAATATTTACTTACTTTTTAGGCATCAAGCTAACTTCACAATATACACTATCTGTTCTTTTTCTAACACCGTTTACTGAGTTTGCTCTTTGCTGCAGCCTCTGTAAAAAGAAAATTTTTGTTCTACAATCACAGCCAAAAGATGATTTTAAAAGAGAAAAAGATGATGTGATTTTTCTGGAATAAAATACCCCTATTAATTGTAATTGATATTAAGGTAAAAATTTAAAAGTTAGATATAAAATCATGGAACATAATTGTGTAATGTCAAAGCAGAAAAATATTGATTTTTTTCTATAATTAAACTTTTTAGCAGCTAAATGGAAGAAGTTTAATGCTAGCCGTGGTTGTTAATCGTTTTTGAAAACGATCATTAAACGATAGTTTTTTGTTTCGTTTTTCAATAGTTTCGTTTATGGGAAAAAAACGATAATTTTAAAAACGACCCACTTGTTTAGAACTTTTAGAAAACAAATAACGATCGTTTTAGAAAACGATCATTTTTTGTGACTGGTTTTTATTCGATTGTTTTCTTTAAACTATCATTTTTGAAAAAACGACCAGTTAAAAAAAAAACATTTTCTTTTGAAAAAACGATCGTTTCATTTTCGATTTTTCAGTGTTGTTTTCATAACAAAATGATCGTTTTTCAAAAAAAATAAAAACGTTAACATCCCTATATAGGGAGAAGGTTGTAAATTTAGTAGATTTAGCTAACAAACTTCTTTATCTATTTCTGAATATATTAGATTTTAAAATGTGAAAACTATCTCTTAAAAATTTTCTACTCCTAACGCATAAATTTTGAAAGAACATTTTTTTTCTGTAGATTTTTTGAGTCGAACTTAAAGAGGAGTATGTTACACATTTAATGTAAATCAACTTATAAGATTTTAAGCAATATAGAGTCAATTTATAATAATTTTTTATTCATAATTTTAATTCTATAAATGTTATATTCAAATATGTATCTATTTTATTTTATAATTGAGAGTTTGCGCCAATCTCTGCATTTCCAGTGGGTATATATTCTGCTTGTTTATTGCTTTGCAGCATTTACAATATACATATTTCAGTGCAGATATGATTACTCCATGGTGTATTATAGACGCATAATTTTATGGAAGTATCTCATTGAATTTAATCAAAGGGACAGTGTCCACGTTTTAAACAAACTTCTTAAAAAACAAAAAAATTTGGATTGAAAGATTTACAAATAAAATAAATAATATTTGTGTAAGACTTTTTGTAATGTGAATCTCAGGACCAAGCATCAATCTATATCCTAAGGACCTACATATACTAATTTAATCCCTTTTCAATATCACTGCACGGATAATTTTAATTTTAATTAAAAACTGATCCTCAATTTTTTAAGTGTTCAAGATTTACAATATGTGAACACAAATGTTTCAACTTCATGGCATTGTTAGGTAGGGTTTCCATCCATTGCGCGCAACTGTGAGGAATTGCAGGGCCCACAATTGCGTGCAATTAAAGTCTACTCGCACATTCTTCTGCCGCTTTAGTGATTGTAAATTGGCGGTACAGTCCAAAGTAGGCCTGCAAAGGTAGGCCCGACTCGGATATTTAAATGTACACCGGTGGGTCGTGCTTGCGTTGGAAACCCTATTATTAACATCAGGTTCACCTTTGCATCTGTTCTAGCCGCAGCGTTAACTGCTGTGTACTCTAGTAAGGCAAAGAAAACAAAGAAGATACATCCATTTGTCCAAACATCAACCGCCTTAATATATTTATCAATAAATATCTTCTTAAAATAAGTCTAGAACATATTTTATTGTTTTATTGTTATTGCAGGACACTTTGTTTCATGCATTTCACATTTATCAGCAGCATGATTGCGAGTTTTTCAAAAATACAATTTACCGGGAAAAATAGCTAAAATCGTAATTTACGATCAAGTGCAGGTAAACTGTGGAAGTAACTCTCAGTTTATATTAATTCAATCAAAATCAACTGTTTTAGATTGTTGAAAAGATAAATGTTAAATAAAAATTTTATTTATAAAATTTCTAAATCAAAATAAATCTTTTTTTCTTACAACGCTACATTTTGGCATTTCATTTACTTGCCTTGGTGTACGCTACTGGAGGAAGTGAGTTTGTGATTGAAGCTGTTTTAGTTGACATTGTTAGTAAAGATGTAACACCAAGAGTAACACGGGCTGGAACAGCCTAAAAATAAATAAGCAATTGATAATGTCCCATTATATAAGCGTTGTCAACTACTTAGAGGTACTTATGAGCACCATTTATAAACATTTCAGAGGCTCGACGAGAATCAGAAATGTAAATTCTTTTTCAAAAAAACATCATTCAACATTTTTACGCTGACTTAAGATATTCACCAAAAAGATTTTTTAAAACAAAAAGTGAAACCGTTTATCGTTTTTGCCAAAAATTGCATAATGTTATAGAAGAAAACTTATTGAGAATACAATTCTACAACTCACATCTTTGTGGAGCACTTAAAAAATCTGAAAATATGAAATATCTCATGACAATGACCATCAGTGCTGAGAGGGACAGTGCCCTTTAAACTATAAATCTAGTATCTTCTATCAGAGTCAACATTTGCAAATAGTGTGTCAAGAATTATACTAATTCAAGAAATGTAAAGAAGCATCATTTTTTGAGGAATCTCTTAAAAGTAGGGTTTCCAACTACATTTGCGAAAGTGAGGAACACAATTCGTCAAATATTTTCGCGAATTTTGATTTTGTACCAATTTCGCAAATTTAACAAAAATCTTCCCGAAAGTGAACAAAATTTCCGTTTTGATCCCATTTTCGTTGTCTGAAGGAAAATTTTGTTTAAAAGATTAAACACAACTTTGGAAATCCTACTTTAAGGTCCCAAAAATGGACCAAAAATAGAATGTTAACTGAACCTTAGGATCAATCCAAAAGTTAAACCAGGACACAATGACCAGCATGCAGGTAGGAACGTAGATAGTCAACATGTAGTAGGAGAACTCACGCTTCAGGGTTAACATCATCCGCAAGCAACTGTACTCTCCTATACAGTAAATTATTGGTACACTCTATTGTACACTCTACAGTCTACAAGACATTATTAGTTATACTGTCCTTTACAGTACATTATTATATAAAGTCTCTAGTACACAGTACATTTTTAGCTGTACTCTTCTGCATACTATACAGTACATTATTAGCTGTACTCTCCTACACACTACACTATAGTCCATTGCACACTTAATAGTACATTATAGCCCATTGTATACTATACAGTACATCATTAGCTGTACTGTCATGCACACTATGCAGTACAATATAATCTGTACTCTCCTATACAGTACATTATTGGTTATAGTCTCTTGTACACTGTACAGTACATTGTTAGCTGTGCTCTCCTATACAGTACATTATTGGTTATAGTCTCTTGTACACTGTACAGTACATTGTTAGCTGTGCTCTCCTATACAGTACATTATTAGATAAAGTCTCTTGTACACTGTACAGTACATTGTTAGCTGTGCTCTCCTATACAGTACATTATTAGATAAAGTCTCTTGTACACAGTACAGTAAATTTTTAGCTGTACTCTCCTATACAGTATATTTTTTATAGTCCTCTGTATGTACATTGTTAGTTGTACTCTTCTACACATCTGTACTCATCGGTACAGTACATTAATAAATATACTCGACTCGTGTGTACAGTTAACCATTAGGTATACTTTCTTGCACACATAGTAAATCAAAGTACAATGTGAATATTTTTTTAATCGCAAAAAACGCAATTAAATATATAGTGCCATAGTTTCAACAGTTAGATTTAAATGTTGAATAAAAATATGTTTAGATTTATTATCTCTGTCTGCATAATAGAATAGAATAGAATAAATTAGTTTCAAAACATTTCTAAATACTTTTATTATTGTAATATTTAGGTCAAGTTTATTTTAGGTTTGATTCAAAATATATTCTCTAACGACACCCACCTCCTTTCCTCAATTTCCCCCCCCCCCCCCTTTACATTATTTTCCCATTAGAACAGATTAGAAAATTACAGTTTGAGACAAGATCAAATTTTATTTCTTGTGTTAAGTTGTTAACCCTGGTTGTAGCCGGTTGTAAGTATATAAATTATTATTTTATAAGAGAAAAAAGGAATGATTCCAAATAACTTCTGTTTACAAGGATTAACACCACTAAAAAAGATTATGTCTGAGACACAAACTCAAATTTTCTAAAACCCAGATCTTTACAACTTAATGGGGTAAATCTTTGATATTTCAAAATTTGACATTAAATCTAACAGAAATAAAATTTTGAAATATCAAAAGACTACAACATCAGGTGATAGAAAAATCAGAGTTTGTGGCAAAAACTTCATTTCACATTAAAATGATATCTTACATGTTTTCAATGATAAAAACTCTATCTAAAAAGAACAAATTTGCTGGTCTATAATAAAAAGTTAAATCAAAGTTAAATGAAATTTGAAGTCGTAAAGTTGTAGCAGTAATTTTGTAATAACCATACGTAGATCGGATTAATAAGCAATTTTAGATTTCAATTATAATCTATGCTTATTAGTGGATTTTTTAAATTGATGTTCTAAAATCATTACGATTTCAAGATCATATTTTGAAAAACCACTTTACAAATACTTGTCTTTAGAAAAATATCTTTAAGTTCGAAAATTAAAAAAAGTTAATTATACATTTAGAAGAAAAATATGACTTTGATTAAATATAATTAACTAACCTTTTAGGGCGCTTCGCGCCCATTTCTCTTTGTGTTCATCGTAAAATAAAACAACAAAAAAAGGTTCGCGGATTTAAAAAAAAATTTCGTGGATTTTCAAAATTTTCAAAAATTTTATGAAAATCTATTTTTGATGGAGACAAATATTTGAAATTTTGATCATTCATAAACCTTCCCATTGGGCCACGTGAGGTCCCGCACAAAATTTGGGCCTGATCGGTTTAGCCGTTCTAGCGTTTATTGAATACAAACAGACAGACACCCAAGCTAAATTTATAGATAGATAGTCCATTTCTTTATAAAACTTATAATTGAAAATGTTCTCAGGTTTTATAGTCTGATAAACTAATAAAAAAGTTGATATCTGTGATCAAAACAATAACAAAACAATAACAAAAATTAACTCTTAAACAAACTTGTACAGTTGGAACACTCTAAATATATAATATAAGATAAAAAATAAAAAATATTTCTCTTTTGGGGAAATAAATACCTGTTGAAGTTTTCACTGTACAGTAATCACTTGAATACTTCTCAACAACAAACCTAAAATAAATAAATTTATAAAAATTTTGTCTAAATAAAAATGTTACTTTACACAGTACTTTATCATGATATGTAAGTACATCTTTAATGTACTTCCCCCCCCCCTATTCTACGACGTTGTTTAACCAACAAGTTAGGTCTAAATGTGTCTAAAGGATCTAGTATAAGGTTAATTTTCATAAATGTATTTATGTAGATGGTGGGAAGGGAAAGGAATTGAATGGAAGAGGGTGGGAAGGGGAAGGAATTGAATGGAAGAAGGTGGGAAGGGAAAGCAATTGAATGGAAGAAGGTGGGAAGGGAAAGCAATTGAATGGAAGAAGGTGGGAAGGGAAAGCAATTGAATGGAAGAAGGTGGGAAGGAAAAGCAATTGAATGGAAGAAGGTGGGAAGGAAAAATAATTAAATGGAAGAAGGTGGGACAGGAAAGTAATTGAATGGAAGAAGGTGTGTAGAGAAAGGAATTGAATGGAAGAAGGTGGGAAGGAAAAGCAATTGAATGGAAGAAGGTGGGAAGGAAAAATAATTAAATGGAAGAAGGTGGGACAGGAAAGTAATTGAATGGAAGAAGGTGTGTAGAGAAAGGAATTGAATGGAAGAAGGTGTGAAGAGAAAAGAATTGAATGGAAGAAGGTGGGAAGAGAAAGGAATTAAATGGAAGAAGGTGGGAATGTAATAAATCTAGGTCCTGAGATTACGCTACTCAAAGTCTAATTATAGTCTCACTGACTCTATCTCTAGCCAAAACTCAAGGCTCTGTATTCATCCGTATAATACGAAGGTTCATGTAGTTACTAAATTTATTTATATACAGGTGAGTCAAACTGACCGGATCGGCCGGTCCGAGCAACATTGAAATAGATAAGACATATATTGATAACATAGATAATAAAGATCGTGATAAGGATTACAACAGAAAATGCTACAGGAAGGGAAAGTAATTGAATGGAAAAGGGTGGGAAGGGGAAGGAATTGAATGGAAAAGGTTGGGAAGGGAAAGGAATTGAATGGAAAAAGGTGGAAAGAAATAGAAATTGAATGGAAAAGGGTGGGAAGAAAGAGAAATTGAATGGAAAAGCTAGGTTGGGAAGGGAAAGGAATTGAATGGAAAAGGGTGGGAAGAAATAGGAATTGAATGGAAAAGCTAGGTTGGGAAGGGAAAGGAATTAAATGGAAAAGGGTGGGAAGAAACAGGAGTTTAATGAAACCCTAATCGACGTAAGAAGATCCATTGAATACCATGATGCAGTGTAAAGAAACAAGAATTCACAGGGGTTCCAAAAAACTCGAAGTTATGGAAAACTAAGTGTCAGAATTTTTCCTTTATTTAAAGATGTATTTATAAAAATACTAAAATTCGAAACGTTTTGAAAAAATTGGTAAATTTTCTGATATTTTTTCCGAACATTCTCCATGAATGAGAATTGGAAGGGGGGAGGGGGTAATGAATGAGTGTAGTCTGTAGAGTATAGATATATCTTTATGTGATTAAGAAATAAGAAATAAAGGGATTGTATATATGTATATAAATATATATAAACAGAAGAGGGGGGGGGAAGGGTGAATTATTGGATGGCTACCTAATTAGCTCATTATTCTTCTGCAATGCTTAGGGGTTGATGCTAATATATTGTTTTGGACAATTTCACTCATGTTATTACACACCCACTGTACAAAGATTTCATGCAGGTGAAGCAGACCCAATTTAGATATTCTACCCCTAATCCTATGTTATAAATACTGCAGTAGCAAACTAGGAAAACTTATCTAAAGAATTGTATAAGAGATTAATTAATATAAACAAGGAATAGAAGTGAAGAGAGATTTTGTCTTGCTTTCATTAAAGGTAGTGTTCGCGAAAAATGAAAGAAGGTATAGGCTTAATGCGATAAAAAAGCGCTTTTGATCGTTACTAATCTTACTTCTATCTGTTGTGTCTATTAGGAGGTCTCGTACCAAATAACTTAGCGTCCATACAAATTGAGAAAATTGCAACATACGACTTAGACCGTAAAAAATTCAATTTAATTTCATACAAATCATTCAGATATTACAACCTATAGTCATTGATTATCTTTCGCCAAATTTGTATATGTATATTTTATAATTTTATAATTTTATTTCTCTTTTCGCTTGCGCAGCTATCTAAGAATTCCACGCACCACTCACATTTTTAGAAATCCGTTAAAAACGTTTTCTAAAAAATAAAACATAAAAGATTAATTAAAAAAATAGTACCCCCTTTCATTTTTCGCGAACACTCCCTTTAAAGGAAACCTTTTTGACCTTTAAACCTTTGACTGATTATCAATGAATGAGATATGGCTGAAAATTGATTATTTTTATTGTCATTTCTCTATAAAAGTGACTTATGGTTTTATCCATCACAAAGATTCAGCCTGCTTATTAAAAGTCTCAACAATTTTTAAGACAGGGTCGACTTTGAAGTGTCGCAACACCTTGGGATTGGATTTTACCGCTCTAACTCACTTCTGCTTTTCTGTAGCCCTTTATATTTACATTTTTGAACTATATAGCACTTGTTGTTAGCCTGCTGTTAAGAAGTTATTGGCAAAATGCTCATCAAGTTTAGCTTGAGAGCTTAAGACCTTTAAATCACAGCAGCAGAGCCAATGTTGAAAATTGTTAGAATTTAACAATATAAAGATTATTGGACTGCATCTTGGGCCAAAAACATAATTGCACAAAAAAATGAGAGATATTCTGTGGTAGTAACTCATGGGACAGGTAGGGATACTTGTAAATACAGGGGACATGCATTTATTCCTCTGACTAAAAAGTTATCACATTGGATATCGAGATCAAGTCAATTGTAGATTATAGCATATCTAACTCTAAAGTTTGGCCTGATAATCTATTTTTACCTGGGGAGAGATATCCCTTGAGCGATCTGAACAGGATCTTCCTTCTTCCAAATATAGACAAGATGATCAGTAGCCCATCCATCTAAATCTATATATAAATTTGGCTTGTCTGTCTGTTTGTTTGTTTGTTTGTTTGTTTGTATCCAATAAACGTCAAAACGGCTGTACCGATCGGGCCCAAATTTTTTGTGGGACATCTAGGGACCCCAGGGAAGGTTTATGAATGATCAAAATTTCAAATATTTGTCTCCATTAAAATTCGATCTTCATTAAATTTTTGAAAATTTTGAAAATCCACGAATTATTTTTGCTTTGTTTTACGATGTACACAAAGAGAACATGTTCACAATTAATCTAGAAGATGGGCGCGAAGCGCCCTCTAAGGCTAGTATATATAGATATTTATATATAAATACATATAAATATAAATATATACATACAGGGTGAGTAAAAAAAGTGTTATTAGCGGCGTCTGGTGCAAAATTATACTTTTTTGCGCAACTCCTGTATGTTATATTTTCAATATTTTTTAGTATTTTTGTTTTGGTACTTTTTTCTCTCTCAAAATCTAAATTTCAGAAAAGTGAAAATGTTTATATATTTTATCTATATATTTTATCAAATTCTGAAATTGTGTAAATATTGAATAATAGAATTACGGAAAATTCGCAAAATTGTTGTATGAAAATTCGCTATTTTCAGTTCTGGTCTAATTTTTCAGGAAAAGTTGTTTTTCAATTGCTCCTCAGTTTTCAACTGAACAGCGTATTAACATAACTTTAGAATATACTAAGAAGAAAATAAACTAGAGGATTTAAAAAAACATTTCCTTAAAAATTAGACCAGAACTCAAAATAGCGAAAATTTCCTACTACAATTTTGCAAATTTTCTGTGATTCAATGTTTATAAAAATCTAGAATTTGATAGAAATAATATACATACACATTTTTGCTTTTCTGAAATTTTGATTTTGAGAGAGAAAAAGTTTCGCGGATTTTTTATTTTACCATTGAGAACCAAAAATAAATTTTAAAAATGTTGAAAAAATACCATACAGGAGAGTCGCATTAAAAAGTACAATTTTGCATCAGACGTCGCTAATCAAACGTTTTTCTGAATCACCCTGTATGTCTATATATTATTAAATCAAGGGCTCGGAGCTGCCCGTGGAAAAAAAATAATTTTGAAAAAAATGTATTAAAAAATCGATTTTTTAGCCTATAACACTCCCGGCTACCCATGAGTGTTCACAAAAAATGTCAGGAAAGGAAAAGGGGAAAGAAAAAAAGGGGGGGAAATATGTTTACATGTTGCATATACATATATACATATGTATAGAAGGTCTCCCGAAAATGATCTTTTAGACAAATTGGTAGCACTCACCATGGTTCCAATTTAAAAATATTACACATTTTTGAAATCCATGAAACAATCCCGATCGATTGATTTAAATTATTTCAAGAGATGAGAATAAGGATAATTAGAATTACACACAATAGATTAAGACTAGTGATTATAATCATAAATATAATAATAACTGACTCAAAGCAGGCTGTTTTACAAGTTGAAATATGTGCCCAAACTCCAGTAACAGCAGACCAGACATAACATTTTGGTGGCCCTTTCTCTTGTGGAACATAAAGCAAGGAAATTTATTTCCTGCACTATGAACTAAGAACTACCCGTTTTTTAAGATTTGTTTAGAAGATTTGCATTTCTTTCAAACCCAATGAAATTTACGGCATAATTCAAATTCATAAACTCAACCCAGTCAAAATTTATATTTTCAAACTTTGTGTGCTATATGCTTATAATTTATATCAATCAATAGGAATGTTTCAGGAATGTTCAAAATTTTAAAATTGCACCATGCATATGCATGGTGAGTTCTACAATGTCTAACAGATTGTTTTAGAGTCTGTATATATATATGTAGGAGGGATCTCTGTCGTTTTTATATTGGGATGTTTGATCCCTTGACCGATTTGCCTCAAATTTTGAATGGGGAACTCGGTAGAACCACGAAAATGTTCTTAATTTGGCGTAGAAATTCAAAATTGGGAAAGTTGAATTTTACAAGGAAAACTCCGGGCAAAGTTGGGTTTCCCAGATAGTGAATATAGTATATACATATACATATATATCTCAAGAAAATATGTGAACTTACAACTCGCTATCTGCATGGGACATCTTTGCCTATCCATTGGATACAGTTTCAGGTTCATCGGACAGGTTAGCGTCAAGGAAACCCTAAATACAAGAAATCAAGCTAGGTTAGTGTCAAGGATACCCTAAATACAAGAAATCAAGCTAGGTTAGTGTCAAAGAAACCCTAAATACAAGAAATCAAGCTAGGTTAGTGTCAGGGAAACCCTAAATACAAGAAATCAAGCTAGGTTAGTGTCAAGGAAACCTTAAATACAAGAAATCAAGCAAGGTTATAAGTGTCAAGGAAACCCTAAATACAAGAAATCAAGCTAGGTTAGTGTCAAGGAAACCCTAAATACAAGAAATCAAGCTAGGTTAGTGTCAAGGAAACCTTAAATACAAGAAATCAAGCAAGGTTATAAGTGTCAAGGAAACCCTAAATACAAGAAATTAAGCTAAGTTAGTGTCAAGGAAACATTAAATACAAGAAATCAAGAAAGGAAGAATCAAGAAACCCTAAGAAAAATGGTCAAATTTGAAAGCATGAAATTCTAAAGATATGAATTAGAAAGTTACAGTTTAATTAGAGTGTTCGCGAAAAATGAAAGGGGGTATAGGCTTACGTTGAAAAATTATTGATGGTGATCGCTACTAATCTTACTTCTATCTGTTGCTGTTGCATCTAGGGTTTCCAATTCCGCTGCGTGCAATTGTGAGGAATTGCGCGCAACTGTGCGGAATTGCGAGAAGTTTAATGGGCTCGCAATCTCGTGCAAGTTTAATTCACTTGCTTTGGAAACCCTAGTTGCGTCAATAAGGAGAAAATTGTTAAAAACGACTTTTATTTACCAAAGAACAAAGTGTCCATAGAAATTCCATAGACAACTGAATCGTAAAAAAATCGATTTAATTAATTCCTAATAAATCAGTAAGATAATAAAACCTAAAATCATTGATCATTTTTCAACACATTTGGAGAAAGTTGATATTTCATAATATTTTTTTAAATTTTTTTATGATCTGAGAGTTACTTTTGATAACATTTAATCCTGTTTCGAGGATTTTTGATAATGAAGACGACATTTTGATATTTTCCCGGAATGTTCGAAAATCCAGCGCCTATACCCCCTTTTCATTTTTGCGAACACTCCCTTTAAGAAATGTATTCATTTCCTTCACAGCTGTAAAACAGAATTAATTATGAAAGCTTCTCAAACAAATTTCGCAAGGTGCTTTAAAACATTGAAAAAAAATACTTCTATTACTCTCCTATACTCTAATTCTCTTAAACTTATATCTTTAAAACCTGATACTATAATTTGTTTACTTTTGAACTAGTTAATTTAGCATAATTCATGAATTTAAAAATATCAGTTTTATTCAAAACTTTTAATTTTTTAAATCAAAAACTTTAAAATATCATAAGATTTCAAAGATCTATACGGATTAGAAAAATAGAGTGGGTCATTTCCTTAGCCAACGAAAATAAGCTTCGGATGGCTTTGAAAATGTTTAGAAAATGTTTATACCGAAACTTCATCAAAATTCATTAAAAATTGATGAATTTTTTAATATGGTCATTTTATAACCTCCTGTAAGCACAATGTATGGTCAAAAAGACACGCGGATCTGTTGAAAGTTGAAAAGTCATGTTTTAAAATATTCATGTGTAAAAAAACGTAACAACACTTGCAGAAGCTTGGCGATTATTTTGTCATTTCTTTTTCAATTATTTATGAATTTGTATAAGATTTTGGAAAAAACATGGTATAAACATTTTTCCATAAATTGCTTAGAAATTAAATTTTTCTGAAAAAGATTGGTTTTGCAAATATTTTTTCTAACGTTCTGATGGTTTTGCAAACAAATTTCGCGGCAAGCTGAATACAGGTATAAATTAATTATTCATAAGTTAAATGGTTTGGTAATTATACAATAAATCTTGAGTAAATTCTGAAAATTATAAAAGTTTAATAATTTCGCATACCATAAATACTACAAACTGCAATTGCAACAATCCTCGCAAACTTTTTGTTTTGATCAATTTATACAAAGTTATATTTTACTCAAATCCCGACTTATTCAACAACAAAAAAGCCAAAACTAACAAATTTTGAACAATGTACGCCATATCATCCGCACAATATCCATTTGCAAAATTATTTGTACTTTGCACATCCTTCTTAACAGTTACTGAATATTTCAGAAACCTAACCACATGTTTATGCATGCATATATACTTTGCTACTTCAACACCAATAAACATACCTACCCCACACCAATATACCTAGCTACCTACCCCACTACCTACTTACCTAATACTGAAGAGAACATGTCCATCTGGAAAAATTCGAACATATAAATTGGGAACTAAAACTCGATGCATTCTTCCTTCTCGTTCATTTCTGAATAAAATTATTTATAAATTTTCATATTTGTATGAAAGATACTGATGTATGACTATATCTTTTTTATTTATAAAATATTAAGTTTGTCAAAAATTACAAAAATGTTGTAAGATTGTGTTTAAAAGTCTAATCAAGTGTGATTATTATCAAACTTATTTTAACCGGAAAAAGTAAAATTTTTCTCATTATTATTATTTTTATTATGTTATTGTTATTTTTATTATTGTTATTATTAAACTGAAAAAGTATCATTATTATTATTGTTATTTTCAACCTAACTATAGCATTATTATTATAATTAAGCTGGCACAGTAAAATATTATTATTACTGATATTATTAACCTGACAAGGTATTACTATTACTATTAATATTAATATTATTATTGCTATTATTAACCTGACTAAAGCATTATTATTATAATTGTTACTATTAACCAGAAAAAGTGTAAGTATTTTAATTGTTATTATAGCCTAGCTAAAGTATTATTATTATTATTGTTATTATTAACCTGAACAAGAATCAGAATTATCATTATTATTGTTATTATAGCCTAGCTAAAGTATTATTATTATTATTATTGTTATTATTAACCTGAACAAGTATAAGAATTATTATTATTATTGTTTTTATAGCCTGACTAAAGTATTATTATTGTCAATGTTATTATTAACCTGAACAAGAATCAGAATTATTATTATTATTGTTTTTATAGCCTGACTAAAGTATTATTATTGTCAATGTTATATTTAACCTGAACAAGTATCAGTATTATTATTATTATTGTTTTTGTAACCTGACAAAAGTATTATCATTATTAATGTTATTATTAACCTGAAAAAGTACTTTTATTACTAATGTTATTATTAACCTGACAAAGTATTATCATTATTAATGTTATTATTAACCTGACAAAGTATTATCATTATTAATGTTATTATTAACCTGGCAAAGTATTATTATTATTAATGTTATTATTACCCTGACAAAGTATTATTATTATTAATATTATTATTAACCTGAAAAATGTGTCTGGCATCCAAACCTTGCTCGGATCTGTGATTGTCAGATATTTGATTTTATCTAAAAAAGTTTTTTAAGTAAAAGAAAAAATGTACGATGCATTTGCTACTCTCTTTTGCCAGGCTTCCAGATTTTTACTTAAATCGCCGCCCAATTCCCCTCCCTCCTCCTTTATTAAATAATACAAGGTCAACGTCTTTACATGTTTCGGAGTTTTAAAACAAATTTTTCACTGTTTTTTAAGAAAAGGTAAAAAATTGCTTGAAGCAACTACGAAATAAACATTTTTGTAGTTAAATTTTTAATTCTGTATATATTTGCTTTTTATGAAATTGCTTCACATACAGGGTATCCCACGCAACATGAGAGAAAAATTACGATTTGAAAGACGTCTTTGGTCTTTGTATTTATTTTTGGCATTCAGTCGTCAACCTTCTTTCAAATTCAAAGTCAGATTCCTCAAACAATTATAAAAAAGTTTCCTATTCCTCGGATTTCTTAAATATGGTCCAATATGGTCCAATATGGTCTGCCTTTTTTGTGTTGTCAACATTATTGGAGAATTTAATTTTAATTAATAAAACCATTAATTGTAGAAATCTGAAAAAAATTTATCAAACGTCCCACGAAACATGACAGTTTGTGAATAGTTTTGAATGTCTTCTTCCATATTGTAAACTTTTTGCAGTTTATTTAGTTTAAAAAAATCTTTTACTCAAATATATTTTACTTTAAAATCATTTTTACTATAATATGGCTGGCATGAAAATTTTTATAATTTTATGGATCTCCGGTAATATTGAGAGTACGAAAAAGGTAGACCATATTTTGGAAATGCCAAAACCTTGTATATTTTATGACTATTGTAATTCTACAATTAGGTTAACGAATATATGTCCTTAATCATTTCCAAAATTAAAGACGACCTTTAAGTCGTCTTAATAGTGTAATGTTTCGTGGGACACCCTGTATTTAAAATCCTAGTAGTTGTTACCTTTTAAACCTGGACTTAGTTTCTCATGAAACCTCAGCCTGTCATCAAACCACTTTTGCCTAAAATATTTTTCAAGTACAGGGTGTCACTGAAAAAAGTGTTTTTAAAGCTTTTTCGCCATCTAAACGTAGTTTTACTATATTAACCGTGATTCTTGTAGGTACAATGCACATAAATGGGGGGAAAGGGTTGTCAATAAAAACTTTCATAAAATTGACATTTTAACTTTTAAGAATATGACTAATATTCGAAAATGTGCTTGGTTTTTATCAGATGGTTTTCAGAAAAAAATAAGCATAATTTTCTTTCATTTCTCTTTAAAAATGCCCATTTTAGTCCATTCATATTGTATAAAACATGTTACCATTAGTCCTACCTTTAAAGGTGAAAACGGCATTTTAGAGCAAACCCCACTTCAAAGCACTTGTTTTTAGCATTAGTAATTGTTAACATTTTAAACTATTTTTGCATAAGAGACTACAACCTTTAGATCACTTTGGTCTGTAGTAAAGCTTTCGATAGTTTTAATTTGTTAGTTTGCCATTCATTTTTTTTGCAAAAAAAGAAACTTTCCTTTTTTGGAATTTGCAGAATTAAAAAAAATGTTGATACTTTTTAAATAAAAAACTTTTAAACTAAATTTATGTTAGTTTTTATGACAGATAGACAGATAGTTAAAGATTAATATATCAAAGTTTCTGTATGTTCTTTATAGCTCAATGTTTTATGTTCTGTTGACACAAAATGCTTCTTATAAACCTTCAGTAAGTGGACTTCTATACCCCCCCCTCGGCCCTCCACCCCCTTTACTTCTGTTTAAAGGGACTGTAAACAAAATTTCAAGTATTTTTTCGTTCAAAATTGGTAATGCTTTAATCTCAATGGTACCCCTTAAAGCGTTTTGTAATCAAGTAAGAATTATATATTAATGTTTATCATTTTAATTTTTTTAAATTAAATTTTTTTTTGCGTAATTCACTTGCGCATTTCTACTGCAGGAACAAATATGGGAATCATCCGAAAGTAACATCTTTAAACCTAGAAAAACGACAATATCTTCCATATTTTTATCAGATAAAGGTTTCAATGGTGCCGTTGTGAATGGGTAATGGACGATTATTTCATATTTCGTTTACAGTCCCTTCAATCCCATCTAGTTTTACCTCCCCCCCCCTGTCAATTTCTTTTATAGCTATAAATCAAGATAATGCAGCAATTTTTTAACCTAATTAGTGGTTTATTTAAATTATTGATAAACAATAGGTTTAGTAGAAAGCCGAGAACAATATTTTCCGAAATTCTGGTTTGGCTCCGGTTCACCCCATATTTTCAGGGGACAGTTTCCGGAAATTTCTGGTGAACGGAAAAAATTGCTCCGGAATTCTAGGAAAAACCCTAAATAGAGGTAAGATAACATATCTGAACTTGAAATACAGGGTTACTCAAAAATTATGAGACTGCAAAGACGACCTGAAACTCATAAAATGCAACAATTACACGGTTAAAATTAGTTTTGAATATCGTCTTGCAATGGCCTATTTTTTGACATAGCAACGAAAGAAACAAGTTTGCAATTGCAGAGAGTCCTAAATATAAAGAAAAAGACATAAAATCTGTACAGTCGTATCTGAAGTCTCAACCTTTGTAGGTAACCTGGTATATTCCTCATAAAACTTTCATTTTTGTTAGTAAATTTCGGTAAATTGTATTAATTTAGATTTTATTTTTTTTTGCTGATACTGATGAAAGTCTGAAAGCTACAAAGTAAGTAATGCAATTTTTTAAGAATCCTTTTTGATATTATTCAATATTTTTCAACTTTCTTTTTAAACAATTATAAGCTAAACTACTCTTACTTTACTAAAGTTCCTGTTTATGTTCACAAACACAAATGTTGCTTTCATTTGTTGATGTTCAAGGAAGAGATTTTGTGATAAGAAAATGTGACTTTCTTTTGTTTTTTTAAAGATTCTTATTTTAAAAGTCATATTTATGCAATTTTGTTAAATGTATTGAGAGAGGAAGGAAGGGGTGTATTTAGTAAAAACAAAGTGCAAAAATGACCCTTTACCAGGTTTAAGGTTAAATATTGCAAAGGGGTGGTTTGGGGAATATAGCCAACTTTGGAATGTATAGGGATCTATGTAATTATACTCAGACGAGGCGCCATATTCTCAGTTTCCTTTCGCTTTGGAAAGTTTCTTTCGCGCAAGAATAAAATTGCCTTTTTGGCACCCGAAGGGTTAAACATTTTAACATTAAATTTATTTTTTATTAAGAATTTCAATTAATTTTTTTCTTAAAGGTGTAGCTAGATTTGAACATTTTAAAATACTAATTCTAATTTCTGTATATTTCTTAATTTTCATCCAAATATCATACATTTTGTCAAATAGAGAAGATTATAGTACCTGAAGGTTAACTGAACACTGTATTCCATCTTCACATCATCTATTTTATCTATACTTCTTATCATTAGATTTACACCAATATTTGTAGCTCCCTCTGAAATAAATTTAACATTCGTTAAAAACGTCCGAAATTCTCATTTTTGCAAAGAAGCTCCAATTCCAGGAAAACCTTACAAAAAATTGCAAAAAATGTCGTTTTTTAAAAGAAATTCATCAATTTAAACAGTAAATTCCCCGATTTTTTAAGTTTTAAACTCACCTAAGTCGGCGGCTAGAAAAGCAACATTTAAACGCTGAAATTGTTTCTATGAGAGAGGGACACGACGGGCCTTGAAAAACTAGTATAAAGAAAATCCCTATTTCTTGTTTATAGAATTCACCCTTTTTGCACAAAATGTGTAATTTAGTTTACAGTGTACAAGTATTTCTCAACTTTCAAGGTTGTAATTAGCAATGGCACTGTTTTTTTTTAATCAAATAAGAAAAAAAACGTAGGCTTCATAAAAGAACAGCAAATCAACAAAATGTAATTATTTAGAAAAAACCTCCGTTATTTCTCTGAAATAAACCGAAATATTTTTTATTAATTTTTCTTTAATCCAATCATCGTTAGATATCGTGAAATGGAATGATGACGTCATTTCAAGGAACATTCCCATCAATTATAATGGACATGCTATTGCTTGAAATACATAGATACTTTAAAACAGGGTTGCTCTCATAAAAAGTGATGTACATATCTTCGTTTTCATAATTTCTATATATCGAGGCAATTAAGAATGAACTTCACCCATTGTAAACGATTGAAAAAAGACGATTTAAAATCGTTAAATCAACGATTTGGCCATTGTTGACAAGTAACTATAAACGACGCCAAGATGTTGTGAAATAAAGCACAACATCTAGGTGCCCAGTCCTATTCTCACTAGGTGCCCAGTCCTATTCTCACTAGGTGCCCAGTCCTATTCTCACTAGGTGCCCAGTCCTATTCTCACTAGGTGCCCAGTCCTATTCCCACTAGGTGCCCAGTCCTATTCCTACTAGGTACCCAGTCCTGTTCTCACTAGGTTCCCAGTCCTATTCTCACTAGGTGCCCAGTCCTATTCTCACTAGGTGCCCAGTCCTATTCCCACTAGGTGCCCAGTCCTATTCTCACTAGGTGCCCAGTCCTATTCCCACTAGGTGCCCAGTCCTATTCCCTTTAGGTGCCCAGTCCTATTCCCACTAGGTGCCCAGTCCTATTCCCACTAGGTGCCCAGTCCTATTCTTACTAAGTGTTCAGAACTGTTTTTGCAAACATAGTTATATACAAGGTTATAATGCAAGCAAGGTTAATTGCATTTGAGTAAACTCTGCGTAAATATTGAAACCAGTTCTCTCTGGGCGGAATTTGTAAACAAGAATAGATGCATCAGTGTTCGTTTAGTATCCGAGGAGGTTAAGAGCATTGAATTCTGATAATTTTCATATTTCACATAATAGTTTCCTATGGCCAGAATATTTCATTGATTTTTTATATGGATGGATGGAAGATGGATCCCATGTCAGGCTTCGAATCCGTCTTGTGTTTACAATATCGCCCAGAGACAGCACACTTCCGTACAAAATATGCGTACACCTCTGAAATAACTGCAAGGCTTGCATTCTTATATATATAGTTAATACACACAAATATATTTATAGGTAATAAATATGAATATATTATTATGAGTATCCTGTTGATTGCGAAAGCATGAAACAAATTGTACTTAATTAATCTTCAAAAAGTGTTGATATTTCTTAATTTATATATAGACATATAAAAATATATATATACTAGCCTTAGAGGGCGCTTCGCGCCCATCTTCTAAATTAATTGTGAACATGTCCTCTTTGTGTACATCGTAAAACAAAACAAAAATAATTCGCGGATTTTCACAACAAATTTCGTGGATTTTCAAAATTTTAAAAAATTTAATAAAGATCGAATTTTGATGGAGACAAATATTTGAAATTTTGATCATTCATAAACCTTCCATGTGGTCACGTGATGTCCCACAAAAAATTTGGGCCCGATCGGTTCAACAGTTTTGACGTTTATTGGATACAAACAAACAAACAGACAAACAAACAAACAGACAGACAAGCCAAATTTATATATAGATAAAGGGATAGGTCCAAAAAACAGAAACTATCGATGTTGTGGACAAAAATTTCAAAACTTTTACTTTTTTCGATTTTACGCTTAAATAAAGTAAAATGTGGTAAAGAAAATTCAAAAATTCAGAAGTGGAAAATTCAAAAAAATTTGCGAAATCAAATTTTAATAATTTTTTTTCCGATTTACAAAGGTACTCCTAGATCTGTTCGATTCACAAAGGTACTCCTACATCTGTTTGATTTACAAAGGTACTCCTAAATCTGTTCGATTCACAAAGGTTCACCTACAACTGTTTGATTCACAAAGGTACTCCATCTGTTCGATTCACAAAGCTTCACCTACACCTGTTCGATTCACAAAGGTACTCCTACATCTGTTTGATTCACAAAGGTACTCCATCTGTTCGATTAACAAAGGTTCACCATCATCTGTTCGATTAACAAAGGTACTCTTAAATATTTTAGATTCACAAAGGTACTCCTACATATGTTAGATTCACAAAGGTACTCCTACATATGTTAGATTCCCAAAGGTACTCCTACACATATTCGATTCACAAAGGTACTTCTACATCTGTTAGATTCAAAAAGGTACTCCTACATCTGTTCAATTCACAAAGGTACTCCTACATCTGTTCGATTCACAAAGGCACTCTTAAATATGTTCGATTCACAAAAGACAAAGGTACTCCTAAATCTGTTAGAATGTTAAGAATTGAAGATACCATTATTTTTCCAGTTTGAAAAGTGATGAAAACTATAGATAAATATTTTTATAATTCAAGAATTGCTTTTCTAGAAATAATAGAGCGGGTTGTGGATTTCAACACTACAAAAACAAGAAAGTACACATAATAATAATAATAGTAATTATTTTATACCTAATCTTATGTATATAGTTTCGAATAATAGAATTTCTAAATACTTTTTGTACTTTGATATTGCGATATGTTTTTACAACAAAGTAACATAGGGTTACCAACAATTAGGATGAGATTATAAAAACGACCAAAAACCCTAAAAATATGACGAATTAAAACTTGATTTTTTGTTTCTGCATTTAATTCTGTATTTCGGTGGTTTACTAAATAATCAAGACATAATGCAAGGAACCCCGTACACTCGTCTCTGAAGTCTCATCCTTTATGGATAATTCTGTACCTGAGGAATTAACTCCAGAAGGCCGAATCCTAGCATCGTAAACCTTAACACCGAGGATCTAGAAATATAATTTAAACTAAATTAAAGGGACTGGACGCGTAATACATGTGACCTTCCATGTAAATTTACAATGGTATCCTTGAAACCTTTATCTGATCAATAATGTGAAGGATATTGTTGTGTTTTAGATTTTAAAGTGTTTAATTCTGATAATTCCTTTGTTGTTCTGTAGAATAGAAATCCATAAACCACAATTGAAAACAAATAATTTTAGAATTGATAAACATTGATATCTAATCTATAATCAATCAGACAAAACTTTTAAGGGTTCTGTTGTGAATCGCGGGTATTGCCATCTTTGCATTGAGGGTAACTTGAAAATACGCGTATACAGGGTGTCCCAAAAAACATGGGAATTCAGTGACGAATTCGATATCGTCTTTTTAAATAATTCTTTGATTCAGTATAGTGATACCTACTGAGAAAGCTGTAATCTGTAAGAGTTTCGCCTGCTATGTTCACATTTTGTTTGTTTATGTTTTCACTGCATACGGTTGTACTTAGTAAAACAAGAAAATTGCAGTATTCAAACAGAGTTAACTTGTATTCACTGTTCATCTTGCGTAGACATTTTAGATACATCTTTACAGTCTCTTACCCTTTTCATAAAATAAACTCTAGCAGACATAATAATATTATGGCTTTTGAAATTGGATATTACAATGCTAATTATAACAAAGACGATCTAGAATTCGTCACTGAATTTCCATTTTTTTGGGACACCCTGTACAATCCTTATAAGTTAACTTGTATTCGTTTATCTGCACTTCACATTTTGTTTATCTGCACTAGACATTTGGACATCGTGTCGTTAGAACAACTTGATTAAATTAAAGAATTTAACCAAAACTCTGTTGATTTAATAAACTTAAAATTTCAGAAAAGTTAAAAAAAAAATATGCTTAATGCTGTTATTGAACGTTTTCTTCAAGTTTTTCATTTCAAATTTTACAAGAAATTTAATCGTTAAGCTCTGAAATATCTTCCATTAACACTGTTACTAAAATCGAGATCGTTAACAAATGGTAACTTGTCAAAATAATGGTAAATATCGTTACCGAACGAATCGTTCAGTTCTTAGCTAAATAATGAACGGTTCCTTGAAAAGTTTTTTTTACGATTTTTTAACTAACTTAACAAACTAATCGTAAGCAAAAGGTTTGAAAAAGTCTAATGAGAAGTAGATTGAAGATCAATTAGATTTCAATCAGTATTAATACGACCAACTTTTACGAGTTTTCAAAACAATTATTGTTTTATCAACATTGTTCAAAGGAAAGTTTACAGGGAATCCATTAAGTTAGGAGGGGAGAAGGGGGTATGTACAATAACATATTTATCAACTATAATTGACATAATTGATCTAAAAACAATTTTTGTTTTTTATTGGTTAAAACTGTAGCTTTTAGAAATCTTGTTACTACGGACGCAAAAAAAAATCTACTTTGGACCAACGACGTTGGTAATTCAAAAAAAGAATTGCTAAGATCCTGTTTGCTAGACTCTAGAGTGGAATTAAAACAATTCAATCTTGGAGTCATCTTAGTCTGAGATGACGTCAGCTTATCAGTCAGATCCACCTGGAGTAAGCTGATAAGCCTGATCAATCTTGAGTCAGCTGTTCAGACAGATCTGCATGGAGTCAACTGATCAGCCAGATCAACCTGGAGTCAGCTGATCAGCCAGATCCTCCTGGAGTCTGCTGATCAGCCAAATTCACCTGGAGTCAGCTGATCAGCCAGATCCACCTGGGGTCAGCTGATCTGCAACCTAGGATCTCATGGAGTCAGCTGATCAGCTAGATCCACCGGAGTCAGCTTATAAGACTGAAACCTCCAAAAGTCAGCTGATCAGTCAAATCTTCATAGAATCAGTTGATTAGTTAAAAATTTAACTGGAGTCTGGGAATCAGCCAGATCCTCTTGGTTAGCAGGGGACTCAGCTGAAGTCAAATGTAGTCAACACATGGCTTAAAATATCCAAATTGATTTTGGAAAAGTAATGATCAAATTTGAAAAAAAAAAACAGTAAAGAAACTGAGCTTCTGCAACACTCCCTGGTTTTCTAATCCTTATGTCTTTGCAACTTGATGTCGTAGACCTTTTATGTTTGAAACTATGAATTCGGTTTGATCAAATAATCTAAATTTGAAACATCAAAGGTTTACACTATCAGGTTACCAAAATATAATGATTAGAAAATTTGAGTTTGTAGGAAAGACTCAATTCCTTTGCCTGATTTCCCCTTTTATTATTAATCCCTCAAATTAAGTCACTTTACTCATGTAAATATTATTTAAATACCTCATCCAGTATGTTCTTTTCTTCCTCTCTTTGGACTTCCATTACACCCCTCCTGTTTCTATCAGCAATTAATCTGCCCTTCTGAAATATACTTCTTCCCTCTTCACTGGAGGTTTCAATGCCCCTTGAGATGTCAACGCCCCTGGAGATGTCAACACCCCTGGAGAAATCAATGCCGCGTCCCTTTAACCCTCTTCTATCCGTCTCACATCTGAATACAAAGTCTTTTTTAACAGTGAGTAAAACTCTGTACATAATCTACCTATATTCTAGAAATCCTGTACATAATTATTCTAGAAATCCTGTACATAATTTACCATTAGCTTATGACTCCCTGTACATAATTTACCATTCTTTATGACACAGTGTACATATTTCACCATTAATTTATAACACCCTGTATATATAATTTACCATTATTTTATGACAGGCCCTGTACATAATTTACCATTTGTTTATGACACCCTGTACACAATTTACCATTATTTTATGACACCCTGTGGCCTGTACATAATTTATCACTATTTATGACACAATGTACATATTTCACCATTAATTTATAACACCTTGTACATAATTTACCAATATTTCATGACACCCTTTACATAATTTACCAAAATTGTATAACAAGCTATTTATAATTTACCCATGAAAGTGAAGATAATAAAGAAGAAGAAGAATTATTTCTGGTTTCATTCTCAAATCTAAAAGCATATTTTTAATTTTTCTGAGGCCGAATTTAAAGAATTTGAGCCGCGGTTTAAATTTGAGACGCGGCTTAAATATGGTTTGTTCCACTTAAAATTCATTTAATGCTTCAAGATTTAAGCCAGCGCTTAGTCAAAACCGGTTTTTGGTGGATTTAAGATGCGACTCAAGATCATTAAATTCGGACACTGTTTTATTTTCTAGATTACAAAAAATAAAAAATAAACAATCTTTTTCACACTTTTAGATAAATAAAGAAACTGAACACTGGCCTCAACCCCTGAGTTTTTTAATTCTTTAAAACCTAATATTTTGAGATGTTTGATGTGGTTTAAATCTTAAATTATGTTTGATTATAGCCAAAATTTGACATATGATTATCAAAGGTTTAAACTAATATGATGCAAAGATATTTGGATTACAGTTTAAGGTTCCTTTAATGATGTTTGAAGGATTTTCTGAAATTTAAGATGGTTACAAAATAACAAAAATACTGAAATTAAAAGAAATGAGGAAGACGACATTCTTAAATATTTGTTATTATTTTTTTTTTCTGAAAATATATAAAAAAAGTTTAATGCTCACCTTTAAAACTATGATCAATTAAAAAATGAATAAAAGTATTTGTTCAATCCTCCCATTTCATGTTCTGAAACCTTCTTAATTAGTTCTATTTGTTGACATTTATAACAATAATACTATCCTTGATTTTGAAGTTTAATGATTTTAATTTCCTTCTCGTGTATGTAGAATAGTGAGGTAAAGAAGGCCAGCCACAACGATTTCTCGTACGAGCCACATTCTCCTCATTTTCTTGTCCCGAGCCATCTCGATATTCTCGTCCTTCCATTATTATGATTTTAAAGTGTTCAATCCTTGAAGATAAAACTATCTTTTGGCTTGGACTAGGAATTACTGTGGTTACTTATGATTTAACTGAAACATTTCCTTTTTTATCTAAACTTGCTGCATATCAAAATCAAAATGTTTGACCTCTGAACGAATTAAAAATTAATATGTGTCTTATTGAATAAGGTTTTAAATATATATATGCATAGTATTATGTAAATACCAGGCTTTTAGGGCGCTTTGCGCCCATCTTCTATTTAAATTGTGAACATGGTCTCGTTGTGTACATTTTAAAACAAAACACAAAAAAATTTCACGGATTTATAAAAAATAATTTGTGGATTTTCAAGATTTTTAAAAATTTTTCAAAAATAAAAAAAACATTTGTATCACAAATTTTTTTTTATTTTGATCATTCCTTCCCTTGGGTCGCTTAAGGTCCTACACACGATTTGGGCCTGATCGGTTCAGCCGTTTTGACGTTTATTGGATACAAACAAACAAAAAGAATAGCAAAATTTATATATATAGACTAGAAATTCAAGGCGCTTCGCGCCCTTTTTGCTAGGCTTTTAGGGCGCTTCGCGCTCATCTTCTATTTAAATTGTGAACATGTTCTTTTTGTTTACATTTTAAAACAAAGAAGAAAATTTTTTTGAGGATTAAAAAGAAAAATTCCATGATTTTCTAGAATTTAAATTTTTTTATAAATTTAAAAACCTTTAAAACACATTTTTAAAATGTTTATTATTCATAAACCTTCCCTGTGGTCATGTGATGTCCCACAAAAAATTTGGGCCCGATCGGTTCAGCCGTTTTGACGTTTGTTGGATACATCAAACAGACAAACCAAATTTATATATAGATGAAAATAGTAGCGAGTTTTCTTTCGTAATTGATAAGAAAGAAAAACAAGTCACTTATACTGAGAAATATCTTCTAGTTTTGGTAATTGTGACTTATTTCTTGAATTATAGTTTCTGAAAGTTAAATTCGGAAATAATATAAAGGAATTGAAATAATCTTGGAATTTCATTTTCACAAAAAAAGTGTTTAGTAAAATTCATTCATAGTTTATATAATTCAGTCTGAATGTTCTCATTAAATATAACTCACTAGGATTTTACGGCGCTTCAACTCCCTTTCCATAAATAATCTTTTAGTTGTTTTGAAAGCATTTAAAATTTTGGCCGATTTAATTTTTCGAATTGGCCCATTTTCAAAACAAAAATTCAATTATTTTCCAGGAATTTTTTGTCTAATTTGGATGGTACATCGATTTAGCCGTTTTTTACTTTTTTGGACACAAACGGACAAACAGATGTAAGTATATAGAATAGATATAGTTATAGATAGATATCTATATATATAGACCAGACTTAAGTATAGAACCAGGAAAAGTTTTTCAACTAAATCTACTCATTTCAAATACTTTTCATTAAATATTTAATTAGTTTAAAACTAAAGTATTTTTTAATTGATATTAAATATCAAGTTAATAGTTTAAAACTCAATATTCAATTAAACTGCACCAAAATAATATAAATAGTTTCGGAAGTCCTGATAATAAATTTACAACATAGTTTATTAATAGATTCAAAATTGGCAATATTTTTGTATTGACATAAAAATCATATAACCAAAACCCAGAAGAGTTCTTCAATGAGAAATAAGTCTTTATCAAAGGAATAAATTCCCTGAAATTTGCCTGAGATCAGAAGTTTTGCTAGAGCCCGAATTTAAAGGATTTGAGCCATGTCTAAACCTGGTTGAACTAGCAGTAAGTAGTTTTGTTCAGCGACGCATCTGAAATTCTTTGAATTCGGTCTCTGGAATTTTAATTTTAAACGCTTGATCTAGAATTCCAATGTGGTCACTTTTAAACTTGAGGATTTTTGGATTAAATAAGGCATCACATAAAATTACGTCGAAAGTCCCTTCGATAAAGAACTGGTCCAAGTTGGTCCAGCCCTGTCAAAGAACTGGTCCTAATTGGTCCACCCATGTTACAGAACTGGTCCTAGTTGGTCCACCCCTGTTAAAGAACTGGTCCTATATTGTCCACCACTGTTAAAGAACTGGTCCTAGTTGGTCCACCCCTATTAAAGCACTGGTCCTAGGTGGTCCACCCCAGTTAAAGAACTGGTCCAAGTTGGTCAGTCTTGTTAAAGAACAGGTCCTATTGTTGGTCCAACCATGTTAAAGAACTGGTCCAAGTTGGTCCACTCTTGTTAAAGAACTAGTTCTTGTTGGTCCACCCCTGCTAAAGAACTGGTTCTAGTTGGTCCACCCCTGCTAAAGAACTGGTCCTAGTTGGTCCACCCCTGTTAAAGAACTGGTCCTAGTTGGTCCACTCCTGTTAAAGAACTGTTCCTAGTTGGTCCACCCGTGTTAAAGAACTGTTCCTAGTTGGTCCACCCGTGTTAAAGAACTGTTCCTAGTTGGTCCACCCGTGTTAAAGAACTGGTCCTAGTTGGTCCACCCCTGTTAAAGAACTGGTCCTAGTTGGTCCACTCCTGTAAAAGAACTGTTCCTAGTTGGTCCATCCCTGTTAAAGAACTGGTCCTAGTTGGTCCACCCCTGTTAAAGAACTGGTCCTCGTTGGTCCACACCTGTTAAAGAACTGGTCCTAGTTGGTCCACCCCTGTTAAAGAACTGGTCTTAGTTGGTCCACCCCTGTTAAAGAACTGTTCCTAGTTGGTCCACCCCTGTTAAAGAACTGGTCCTAGTTGGTCCACCCTTGTTAAAGAACTGGTCCTAGTTGGTCCACCCCTGTTAAAGAACTGGTCCTAGTTGGTCCACCCCTGTTAAAGAACTGGTCCTCGTTGGTCCACCCCTGTTAAAGAACTGGTTCTAGTTGGTCCACCCCTGTTAAAGAACTGGTCCTAGTTGGTCCACCCCTGTTAAAGATCTGGTCCTAGTTGGTCCACCCCTGTTAAAGAACTGAATGAAAATGACAACTTTTACCGCAGTTTCCACACCGCCGTCTTATAATTACTGTTCAACAATCCCTCCCTATCTATCTATCTATCTTAAACATTCCCCCTCACTATCTATCTATCAACCTCCCCCCCCCCATTACCAATATATACATTTACTTTTTTAAAAAAGAGTATTGTTTATGTCCAAATCTTTATAAGGTTTGAAAACCCCTCCTTAAACAGGCCGCCCCCTCCTCCCGATTTACGTAAAAGTTCGTTAATTAGATCGTTCTTACCACTTTATACACATACATAAAAACAGTTTGTTTTTAATCTTCCTGACAGAAACAATCTCTAGAAATAACAGTCATAAAACATTATTTAAAAAAGTGAATATTTGCAAATTATCTTTTTTCCGTCTCATAATCTGAGTTCGTTTCCTGTTTCCCTTTTGTCCATTTGACAGCCCACTTATTTTTTAAAATCTTTTTTTTTGTTATTTTTTTGTGGTTTTTAACAATTTTTTTTTATCGATTTCAAATTTTATTATATCGTTAGAACTGACGAGGGTTAACCCAGACCGACATATATTTTCAATAAATGTGGAACTAACATCTACTTTTCTACTCTACAGAGGTTTGGTCCCTCACTATTACCGAATTTTAAATCTACCTGAACCCTGATGGATTCTATAGATTCCTTTTAAAGTAACTACTAGAGCTTTGTAGAGAACTGGAACGTACAAAAATTCTTTATATATATACTTTGTTTATCTGCCTGTCTGTCTGTTTGTGTGCAGTATAAACGTCAAAACATTTCAACCGATCAGGCTAATTTTTTTGGCAACTCAAATCACCCCCAAATCCACGAAAATTTTTTTTACAGTTTTATTATTTTTATAGTTATATTTTCAAGGTTTTTATATTATTTTACGATTTTAAACTAAATATCTATCTATCTTTTTTATCCTAATCTAACAATTTACATGTATATTTCTATATCTATCAGTTTACAAATTTGTTATTTATAAATATCCATTATTCTTTATATCTATCTAGGTCACAATAACGTTTTTACTTTAAAAATGTATCTATTGTATTTTAATATTCTGTACTGAATCTAATGTCTTCAAAATTTTTTTATTATCTATGTTACCAAATTAACATATAAAATCTATTTGTAAAATAGAGTAAAAATCCCCATTTAGCTGTTTAGTTTTAGCATGCTTTATAATGATTATTTATAAATATAACTTAAGTCAATTTATCATAATAATACATTGCCTTGTTTGTCCGAACACGGCTTGTTTAGCTTAGATTGGTTGTATTATGTTTTATTGTATTGTAAGCTGAACCATTAATCTTGGTTAAATTAAAATATGAACTAGACATTAAAAATACTTTACAAGCATGTTCTTCTCAATAATTCCTCACAATCGGAGTTAAGATTAATGACATTAAAGATTTAAAATTATTCTTCAAATTTTGTTGAATGAAATTTATTATTCATCACATTTGAAGAATTGTGCCACTAAATGGAATTTGGATCCGGTGCAATTGCCAAAAAATATAAAAAAGCAAACGCGAAATAATCAAGATTTAAAATATTCTTCAAATTTGTTTCATTCAAATTTTTCATTTAACACGTTTGCTAATACGTTAAATTTGGCTCCGGTGCTTCAACAAAGGAATTGAGTTTTTGCCGCAAACTCAAATTTTCTTATCCCTATATCTGTGCAACCGAATGGTTTAAACCTTTGATATTTCAAACTTAGAATACTTAATCTAACAGAATTCATAGTTTGAAATATCTAAGGTTTACGGGATTGGATTGTAGAGATAAAAGGATTAGAAAATCAGAGTTTGTGGCAAAAACTCAATTCCTTTAGTTAGATGTAATTAGGAATTGACTTTTTGTCACAAACTAGGATTTTCTAATCCTTATATCTTTGCAACCCTTTACTTTAGACCAGATATTTCAAAATATGATTTCTGTTAGATCACGCACCTCTGACCCTCTAGTAAAAGTAAATTCAACCTAAAGTCTGATCGCGTCAACCTTGTTGCACCGGGCGTCCGGACGTTACAGTACAAACTGGGACCGGAAAGTTTGACCCGGCTCGGAAATTTAAATGTACTCATGGATACCCATGATATAAAAGAATCTAAGTTTGTCAAATATCAAAGGTTTACACCATGAGGTGGAAAAAATATATGTATTAGATAATCAGAGTTTGTTACAATTGTTTGTCAATTCCTTTGACATTTCTGAAAGTGTACGTTGGTCTAAATTTAACAATCTTTAATTGTCTTTTTCTA